GATCACTTGAAATTTAGTATATCAATCAGGGTAGAGATAAGTAGAGAGAAACAGCAATTTGAAAAAGGGAAAGTTTATTAAAAAGATTACTATCAGAGGATTGGAGAAATGAGGGATTGGCTAATAAAAAACAGAGTAGCCTAAAGAATATAGGAATAAAGATAAAAGGAGCATCTATTACCCCTAGGATGGAGATAAAGCATTTGGGGTAGAGGCCTCCAGGACTGAGATCCAGACATTTGAGAGAAGGCATTGACTCGTTAAATGATATTTATTGCTGTGCTTTGATGGCAGAGCTTTTCAGAAATTTGTCTCACCAGAGTCACTGTTAGAGCACTGCCTGAGGGAGGTGTTAGGGAAGCTGCTGGATGTTGCTGACTACCAGGTACTCCAGGAGCTTAGCATAGAGAAGCTGCACAAATTGCAGGAGCCAGGCACTAGAGAAGCCATGTGGGGTCCTGGAGCCCCCTGAGAGGAGCACACTAGACTTAGTGGGGAAAGCCTCTTCCTTCTGCAGTGTCTCTCTAGCATCTTCTACCTTCAAAACTTCATGCCAAAGGGCAAAGGAAAAATATTTAAAGGGCCCAAATTCATTTTTGCAGAGCAGGCAGTGAAGGGTGAATTTGGACCTGTGAGGCAATAAATGAACAACTGACACATTTGGTGAAACATAGAGTTTTATTTCTTATTATGGGTGCCTCCTTATGGACTTACCATTTAAACTTGGCATCCTGATATGAATTTTGCTAAGGACCTCGTTCTTCCCAGCAATTAAGGAAGGATGCCATAAGGCCACAGAGACATTTCTTTGTAGGAAGAAAGGGCCTGGGCAGTAGCCTTACATTTGCTTTTTTAGGTTTCTTTCTCATGAGCATCTGGTTTAGGAGCTTCAATTTCTCATCTACCTTGACCCTTTGATCTGGGGCATTGTGGTGAAATTCCTCACACTGTCACACATTCTAACTTCAGAGCCCAGACTTTTGTTTGAATTATCTTTGCATTGGAATTAGTACTTTGAATCAGTACATTAAAAATGGATTTTTGAAGAATAAATATTTCAAAAACTATTAGCTAGAATCTCAGCATTTTAGAAGAAATGTTAAGTATAAATTTTGAGCACTAGTTTCTAGTTAGCGGTTGTTGTGAAGAAAAGCACTTTCATTGGTTAGTAGCTGATTTGGATTTGGCAACCAGCCAGGAAAAATAGGCTTAGACAGATACACTTAGATTTTGATTTTTTTGGTGTATATTCCATTTCTAGAAGACAAAATTATTATTATTATTTTTAAAGATTTTATTTACTTATTCATGAGAGACACAGAGAGGCAGAGACACAGATAGGGGAGAAGCAGGCTCCATGCAGGAAGCCCAATGTGGGACTCGATCCCGGGACTCCAGGATCACGCCCTGGGCCGAAGGCAGGCGCTAAACCACTGAGCCACCCAGGGATCCCCAGGTTTTTTTTTTTGTTTTTAAAGAACATTTTAGTATTTCATTTTTCAGCTGTTTTATGGCCAATAAGAGTCTTCTGTTATTCTAGAATTGAGACTGTTTTATATCTATTTCATATTGTTAACACCTGCACTTGTTCAGTGCACTAACCACTAGCCATGTGTATGTACTTATTTAAATTTAAATTAAATAAAATTAGCAATTTAGTTCCTTAGTTGCACTAGCCATATTTCTAGTGCTTGACAGAAACATGTGGCCAGTGGTTACCGTAATGGACAACACAGATGTAGAACATTTCCACCATTGCAGAAAGTTCTGTTGGGCAGTGCTGGTCCTGTAATATGCAGAATGGTGATAGTCTCATATATTGTAGTTGTTGATGTGACAGCTTTTCTTTGTCTCAGAAGGTAATTTTTTTTTTCCAAAGATTTTATTTATTTGACATAGAGTGCAAGTGATCATAAGCGGGAGGAGTGAGAGGGAGAGGGAGAAACTGGCTCTCCACTGAGCATGGAGCCCAGTGCAGGCTTGATCCCAAGACTCTGGGATCATGACCTGAGCTGAAGGCAGATGCTTACCAGACTGGGCCACCCAGGAGCGCCTGGGAAGGCAGCATTTTTCGTTTCATAGTCCCCATGATACATTTTGTAAGCCTTTAAATTTTAGTTATTTGGTAGATATATAGTGGTATCTCATTGTATTTTTACTTTGAGTTTTCCTAATGAAAACATGTTTGGAAAAAAAATGTTTTTAAGGTTTTACTTTTGTCTTTGGTTTTCAGCAGTTTTACTATGATGTGCCTGCGTGTGGTTTTTGCTACTTTATTGAGATTTATAGTACTTATTGAATTGAATCTCTGGGTCAGTCTTTTATCTTTTTTTTTTCCCAAAAATTTGGCGGTTAACCTCTTCACATCCTGCTTCTCTCTTTTTCTATTCTGCAATTCTAATGTGAGACTTTTTCACCATATGTCATATGTGCCTTAAGTTTTTTCCTGCATTTTCCATTTTTTGTCACCATGCTTCAGTCTAAAAATGGTCTTTTAACCATTAACTCTTTTTGTTTAGTTGTTTAGTATGTGTAAAAAACATACTAAGAAGTAGCCCATAGACTTCAGAGTGCAAAAAATGGTCTAGGGATAAAAAAATGATTCTGTATAGCATAGGTCACATTATGTCATTCCTCAGCTCAAAGCACTCTGATGGGTTTCTCCTAATTTCTCTCCAACAGAACAAAAGCCAGTTTCTGTGGCTTACATGGCCCTCCTTGATCTGCACCATCCCACTTGCTGTATTGTGACCTCTCCAACTCCTGTTTATTTTGTTCACTCTTCAATGGTTACTTTGGGGGAAATGCCAGATACACTCTTGCTACAGGTCCTTTCTAGTAGCTATTGCTCCTTTTGGAATACTCTTCCTCATAATATCTTCATAGCCTACTCCTTTACTTCATAGCCTACTCAATCACTTACTTCCTGACTACTTAAAATATTTATGCCTATCCCCTTGATGCACATTTTCTGCCCTCCAACTCAATTTTTTCCCATATACTTATTACAGTTTTTCATATTATGTATTTTACTTTCTCATTAGTTTAGTATTGATTTTGGGAGTGGAGCACATCAGGCTTCTGTTACTGGGGAGTTGGGCCTTTGGCAATAGTATTTAGGTCACTTTTGGAGAGTTGCTGTTGGTCCGATGCATAACTTCCTTACCTTTTTCCACTGCTATTTCATTTATAAGCCTATTGCATTAATGGTGACATGGATGATGACAAAAGCTAGCTAATGTCAACTGGCCAAGTCACTTTATCTGCATTGTTTAGTGCCTCTTTCAAAGTTGGTGTTGATGGGATACAAAGAGCCTCCTATCGGGTGTTCACTTTTTATATGTCTGTCTACATGCATCTTTCCCACATCTCCTTTTCCCAATCTGTTGATCTTTTCTAGAGTTTATCTCACATCTTCTGGAGAGTGTGTTTCTCACCACTGTACTTGATTTTTTGGTCACTTGATTCAGTTAGCATGATGTCATCTGGATCACAGACCAGCATGAATTTCTTCAGATTGTCCAGATGGTTCAGGTCCCCTTGGACTATGTTTAGATACAGGGCCAGAAAATTAACATGGCTCTGGCTCAGGCATGCACGTGTATGCTGCTATTGGTCTCCTATGAATGTCAACTACTTTTGGTCTTGCTTCGTAATAGAGGTCAAAAAGATGCTTTTCCAGATCAGTCACTGTGTACCACTTACCTGACAGGCATCAATAACCCTGTCTTTATAGGCTGCCAGAGTGGCCCTCTGCCTTTTTCAGACTATAGATTTTAATTGGTAATTTTTCATCCTTAGCCTTTCATTGTCTTTATTCATTGCACTGACTACACCCGGCATAGCTATCCAGTTCTATAGTGGTTTTAGCTCTTACTTTTCCTGTACCTCTCAAATGCCTGGAATAACCACATCAGCCACTATCTCTCCTTTCACAATGAACTTTTAGCAGTTGCAGTTGTACTCCTGTAGCATGTCGGGGACTATGTACCCCCTGTGATGGGGTCCTTGTTGCTAGCCACTCAGTGATCTCATCGTGGAATTGACTTCATAGGACCACTTTTGGTACCCACTCTCTCAAGTCAGATTCCCCAGAAACATACTTTGAAACTCCAGGATTTGCATGCAGAAGGTTGGCAAAGGAGTACATTGGGATTGGATCCTGAGAGAGAAGATGCAAGGAAAATACTCTTAGGAAGGCACAGTAATTATATTTTCCTATAGTTGCAGAAGCAGCCTCAGCTGTTCCCATGGGGAGATCTCAAGCTAGTATAATTCTTCCCGTGGATCCCAGCCTGAAGCAGAGGGCTGGGCCATTTTACTGCACATTGGCCAGGCATTGAATGTGGGCTGCTTTGGAATGGTAACATAATCTTGTATAAGGGAGTTCATTTGTTAGCCATCAGCAGACCAAATCCTGGAAGTTGGAGGAATGAGCAGGGTGGTAAGTGTGCAAAGATTCTGTAGTACTAGAGAAATGAAGGAGATGATGAAAACTTATTCAAACACTTAGCTGTGAAGGGGAGGAGAGAGGATAATTAGTAGAAGTTCCTGAGGAGACTGGAAAGGATGGAATCCAGAATATAGGTCTTAGATTTGCCTTGGGCAGGAAGAGGTCTATATCCACCATTGTAATGAAAGAGGAGGAGGAAGAGAGGTGTTCAGATGTAGATAAGTTTATGACATAGTGGGAGGAAATTGAGGCAGTTGTTGTTTGTTGGTTTGGGGAAGGAGCCAGACAAATCAACAACTGAAAGAAGGAGAGTTGATTGGGTTGAAGATTTAAGATAAGTAGATATTTTTAATAGATGCTATGCAGAGTGGGAGGAAGGTACTAACAGGATAGCCCCTGTTGTTGAGGGCCCATTTGTGGTTGATGATCTTGATTTTGAAGAATTATCAATTTGTGCAGTTGTGACTTTTTTCTGGCAGTGCTTAATGTCTTGAAAGTGTAAACATGCCCATTAAGACATAATTTTTTTCTTTTTTCTTTTACATAGCCATCAGATCAAGTCATTGCAGTATAGTAACACAGGAGACATGATTCTTGTTGTATCTGGAAGCTCTCAGGCCAAAGTGATTGACAGAGATGGTTTTGAAGTAATGGAATGTATAAAGGGAGACCAGTATATTGTGGACATGGCAAACACCAAGGTAAGGATTAAACAGCATATTTTACTGAATTTAATTAATTCAGCACACATTTATTAACAACTTATTTGAGTTGCTATGATTTACCCTAAAAGTTAATGCTTTGTTTTAAAGAATGTATCATTTCTCACAATTCTGTGGATCGACCAAGAAGTTCTTATGCTTCATGTAGTGTCAGCTGGGGCATTAGGATGGTTTTAATGTTGAAAGTGCCTCACTCAGATGATTTATAGTTGGTGCTCTATCCCTTGCTGTCTCTCCTGTTTCCAGCCCTCCCCCTTCCCCACTATGTGCATGTGCATACTTATGTGCATGCTCTCTCTCGCTCCCATTTTCTCTTTCCAGGTGTCTAGCTTGGGCTTTCTGATAGTGTGGTGGGCTTAGTGTGGTTTGACTTCTTGCTGGATGACTGGTTCCATGAAGGATGAACATGGATACTTCAGATTTTATAAGGTCTGGCTTCAAGTCTTTATGTAGCATCGTAGGGCCAACTCAAATTTGGGGAGACAAGAGATAGATTTCACCATTTGGTGGATGAATGACAAGATTGCATTGTCAAAGATCCTATGGGATGGGAGATACGGGTGCAGCCTTCTTTGGAAACAACATACTACAAATCTACTATATACTAAGCTTTAGGACAAGAACAAAAAGAGGATCTTTTATATAAAGGTTTTATATAAAGATTTTTAAATGAGAATATTTTAAAATTATATTAAATATCAATTAACTATAGCTGCATACATGCTATCAAACTTAATGGATTATTTATAATGGGTAACATATCTGTGAGATGTCTGGGCTTGGCTCCAAGATACAACTAATGTCTAGGTCTGTTCCATGTGTCTCTGTTCCTCCTTGTACAAGTGAAATGCCCAAGGGCATGTTTTTCTCATGGTGATGGCAGAAACACAAGAAGGAGCCTCAACTCTAGAAGCACATTTCAGGACTTTGCTCATATGTCCATAGACATTCCATTGGCTAGAGCAAATCACATGACCATGGGTAACTGGAGAAATTGCCCAGGTCTTTAGTGAGAGTAACTGCAGTATCACATGCCAAAAGTTGAGGATATAGGAGAAGTGATGGATTGGCAACAATAATACAACCTACCACAGATATATTACAGTGTCAGTGGATATGGTTGGTGCAGAATTTTGAGCCTCAATTATATTTTATTTTTTATTTTTTTATTTTTAAAGATTTTATGTATTTATTCAGGAGAGACAGAGACAGAGAGAGAGAGAGAGAGAGAGAGAGAGAGAGAGAGAGAGGCAGAGACACAGGCAGAGGGAGAAGCAGGCTCCCTGGGGGCAACCCGATGTGGGACTTGATCCCAGGACCCCGGGATCACGCCCTGAGCTGAAGACAGATGTTCAACCACTGAGCCATCCAGGTACCCTTTGAGCCTCAATTTTAATTCTGATTTTTACTCACTCTTTTCCTGTCCTAGTACCTTATTCTAAAACACTAATAATCAAGGTTTATACCTATATCAAAGTCTCATAGATTTGATTGTCTAAGAAAATACAGTGGATCCTTATTATTTGTGGTTTCTGTATTTGCTAAAAATTTTTTATAACCCCAAAGTCAATACACGGCCTTTTTGTGGTCATTTGCAGAGACATGTACTTGCATAGAGCAGAAAAAAAAAAAAAAAAAGGAAAAGATAAAGCTAATGCTTTCTTCTTGTTTCAACTCTCACGTTGTAATCAAGTGTCCTTTTAGAGGTCTATGTAGTACTATGTTTTTCTTATTTGTGAGCCTTTTGTTGGTGATTTGCTGTTTAAAATGGCCCCCAGGTAAGTGCTGAATTGCTGTAGCACTGTCTAATGTTCCTCTGTGTTAGAAGTCCATGGTGTGTCTTGCAGAGAAAATATATATGTTAGGCAAGCTTCATTCAGGCATGACTTACAGTGCTGTTGGCTATGAGTTCAATGTTAATGAATCAGGTATATATATTAAATAAGGTCCTTAAACAAAAACATAAACAAAATTATGTATTGATTGGTTGAAGAAAATGTGACTGGAAGCTTGCATGAACCCAACCCTATATTTTGATAATTCAGTGCTTAAGAACTTTATAGACTATACTACTGCAAGTAATGAGAATTGACTATAATCTACATGTTCTGTTTGAGCTGTTGGAATAAATTAATATACTATGTTTCAAACTGCCCTTTATTGAAACCAAGTAAAGTGCCTCTCAGCCCTAATGAGGATCATAGTCTCATGCATTTTTTGACTAATTGTTTCTTAAGTGCCCAGTGTTAGATGATTCAAACAGAATTCATATATAATTTAAGCATACAATTAGATTGCAATGGTAGCTTTAGTAGTTTTTTTTTTTTTTTCATGTATTTTACTAGAATTTCTCATTCCCTTCTCTTTAAAATCATTGCCACTAGGATTCCACCAAAGATGATGTGAGAGTGATGGTGGTAAGGAAGGAAAGCAGATAGGTCTCTAGATCACTCTCCCTGTCTTAAACTTAATTCTGCTTTCATCTGCTTTATTTGAAGCTTTTGGGAATCCCAAACTTTATTTAAGCAACTGGTTTGTGGAAATGAAACCTTTAAAAACTTGTATTTAATTTATTCTCTTTTTAGCTTATGCTTAACCATCAACTTTCTTTCTTTCTCTCTCTTTCTTTCTTTCTTTCTTTCTTTCTTCTTTCTTTCTTTCTTTCTTTCTTTCTTTCTTTCTTTCTCTTTTAAGATTTTATTTATTCATGAGAGACACAGAGAGAGAGGGGCACAGACATAGGCAGAGGGAGAAGCAGGCTCCATCCAGGGAGCCCGATGTGGGACTACATCCTGGGACCCTAGGATCACACCCTAGGCCGAAGGCAGGCGCTCAACTGCTGAGCCACCCAGACGTCCCATCAGTATTTCTTAAAAAGTCTGAGGAAGAGAAGTTTTTGCCAGTCTAAGCTCTTCTTAATTATTTCAGCCACTCAGGGCTTCTTACATTATAAGAAGACTACAACTTTTTGGATTTAGGTTTTAGCCAAGAAAATTTCAAGAAGAAAGGAATCTGGTTAGTTTTGTTTCTGGCTACTTCTGCAATCTCAGACTTATAGTACATATAATAAGATGATTAGGAAAGTAGGACAAGGATGGATAAACAAATCTGTAGAAACATAGGAAATTAAAATATTGAGTTATCATAGTTATTTTTTACCTCCTTGGTTAAATTTATTCTTAATTATTTAATTGTTTTTGATGCTATTATAAATAGGATTAGTTTCTTTAATTCTTTTTCAGAAAATTCATTGTTAGTATATGGAAACCTATTGATTTTTTTAAAATGTTAATTTTCTGTCCTGTAACTTCTCTGAATTTGTTATTAGACCTAAGAGTTTTTTTGATGAGTTTTTAGGATTTTCTGTAGTTAGAATAATGTCATCTGCAAATAGAATTTCACCTCTTACTTTCCAATTCTGGTATCTTTTATTTCTTTTCTTGCCTGATTGTTCTAGTTTTGATTTCCAGTACTATCTTGAATAGTAGTAATGAGAGTGGGTACCCTTGTCTCATTCCTGATCTTAGAGGAAAGGCTTTCAATCTTTCACCATTGAGTATGATGTTGGCTGTGAGTTTGTCATGCATGATCTTTATTATGTTGAGATTTGTTCTTTTTATGCCTAATTGCAAACCATATGTATGATAAGGGGTTAAAATCCAAAATTTGTAAAGAACTCCTATAACTCAATAGCAAAACAAAGCAAACCCAATTAAAAAATGGGCAAAGGACCTGAATAGACATTTTCCAAGGAAGATGTACCAAAGGCCAACAGGTACTTGAAAAGATGCTCAACATTACTAGTTGTTAGGGAAATGCAAATTAAAACCATAGTGAAATATCCCATCAGCCTGTTAACAATGGCCAGTATCAAAAAGACAAGAGGATAACAAACGCTGGTAGATGTGGAGTACAAGGAAACCTCATGCACTGTTGGTGGGAACGTAAATTGGTGCAGTCACTGTGGAAAATAGGATGGAGGATCCTCAAAAAATTAGAAATAGAGCTATCATATGGTTCAACAATTCCCCTTCTGGGACTATATCCAAAGGAAATGAAAACATGAACTTGAAAAGATATTTGCACCTCCATGTTCATAGCAGCATCATTTGCAATTGCCAATACATGGAAACACCTGAGAGTCCTTTGATGGATAAATGGATAAAGAAGTTGTGATATATCTGAGTATTATTCGGCCATAAAAGATCAGGAAATCCTACCATTTGCAACAACGTGGGTGGATCTTGAAGGCATTATGCTAAATGAAATGTCAGAGAAAGAGAAATACTGTATGATTTCATTTATATGTGGAATCTGAAAAAGAAAATAAAACCGAACAACCCCTCCCTCCCCGCTGCAACAAACCACAGACTCACAGAGAAGGAGATCAGACATGTGGTTACCAGAGGCAGGAGGTGGGAAATAAGGGAATTGGAGGAGAGTAGTCAAAAGGTACAAATTTCTAGTTACAAGATAAATAAGTAGTAGGGGTAAAATAGGTGCATAACATACAACACTATGACTCAGTTAACACTGTGTGACATACAGGAACATTGTTAAGGAGGGTAAATCCTAAGAGTTCTCATTACAAGGAAAACTTTTTTGTTTGTTTACTTTTTTTTCTTTATATCATATCTGTATGAGATAAAGGTTGTTAGCTGAATCTATTGCGATAATCAATTCACAATATTTGTAAATCCTGTTATCATGTTATCCTTTAAACTAATACAGTGATGTATGCCAATTATTTCTCAATAAAACTGGGAAAAAATTTAGTTACCAATATGTAGAAAACTACTATATAATGTAGCTGTCTACTGTAACTTCCCCCACTTGCCTAATATCTCCATTTTGATTTCAAAATCTTAGTTAATATTTACTTCCTACATTTCCCAGAAGCAAATGTAATTAATTGACTATTTACTTGTCTAGGAAATGTTACTGATATCTTAATTGCAGTCTTTGGCTTGACTAATGGG